AGCGATCCTCACGCGCGTCTGCTATGCACGCGTCTGGGCTAATGTCGGTCAACTTGCTCGATCACTCAGCTTGTTCGATCACTCATCTGATCGATTGGTGGGTAGCTCGACTAGTCTGATCGAGCATCAGGCTACTCGATCGCCTGTGCAGTCAAACCTTGGATTGTTCGATCGCTTGTGTGGTCGAGCCTTGGGCTGCTCGATCACGTGGATTCCCGCCTTTCGGCTTGGTTTGCTCCCGGTCCGCTCTTCTCAACCGGCTCACCAAATCCGTTCGTCTTTATACAAATAATATCCTATATCAGACAAGTTAAACATTTTCTCACAAAGTCGGCTACGTCCTTCTTCATCCCTCGCCACCAAAACGACCTTTTCAGGTCATGATACATCTTCGTACTCCCTGGATGGGCTAAATATGGTGCGGTATAAGCTTCGATCAATATCTCTTTCTGCAACGCCTCGACTTTTGGTATGACAATCCTGCCTCGAAATTCCAAGGCTCCATAAGCGTCTCGGTGAAAACCCTCAACACCTCCAGCGCGGACTTTGGCATCAATAGCACGAACAAATTCATCAGAAACATGCTCCCGCCGGATCCTTTCCCTCAGCGTAGGCTGAACCTGCATAGAACTGACACTCCCCGTAATCGATGTAGGAAGTGCATCAACAACCTGAATCTGCATCCGAGCGAACTCCTGGATAAGACGGTTCTGCTAAGTAACAACATAAGTCAAGTCACCCTTTACCTTGCGGCATAGGGCATCAGCAACGACATTCTCCTTCCCCGGATGGTACTGGATAGTGCAATCATAATCTTTGACAAGTTCTAACCAACGACATTGACGCATATTGAGCTCTTTTTGCGTGAAAATATACTGTAAGCTATTGTGATCTGCGAAAATCTCGCATCGACCGTCGTATATATAATGTCGCCAAATCTTCAGGGCATGAACTACCGCTGCTAGCTCCAAGTCATGCGTAGGATAATTATGTTCATGGGGCTTTAATTGGCGTGAAGCATAAGGAACGACATGGCCATCCTGCATGAGTACGCATCCCAAACCCTGTCTTGAAGCATCACTGCAAATGGTGAAGCTCCGAGAAGGATCTGGAATAGTCAACACCGGTGCTGTGGTAAGTCTCTTTGTGAGCTCCTGAAAGCTCGATTCACATCGATCAGTCCACTCGAACTTCACAGACTTCCTCGTCAGCTGGGATAAAGGAAGGGCTATCTTAGAAAAACCCTCGATAAACCGGCGATAATAACTCGCTAAACCGAGAAAACTGCGAACCTCGGATGGATTCTTTGGTGTGGACCAATTCTGAACGGCGGCAACTTTGGATGGATCAACATCGATACCTGCCTGAGTGATAACATGGCCAAGAAAGGCTACTCGCTGGAGCCAGAATTCGCATTTGGAGAATTTAGCATATAACTTTTCACGTCTAAGGCTTTCAAGAACAACCCTCAGATGCTCCTCGTGTTCCTTCAGGCTCTTGGAGTAGATAAGAATATCATCAATGAAAACAATAGCAAACTGATCGAGATAGGGATGAAAGATACGGTTCATCAGGTCCATAAATACTGCTGGAGCGTTACTGAGGGCAAATGGCATGACTACGAACTCATAATGACCGTACCGGGTACGAAAAGCAGTCTTTGCAATGTCTGACTCTTTGATCTTTAGCTGATGGTAGCTTGATCGCAAATCAATCTTGGAAAATACACAAGCTTCCCTCAACTGGTCAAATAAATCATCAATTTTGGGAAGCGGATATTTATTCTTGATAGTTAACCGGTTGAGATCCCGGTAATCGATACACATGCGCATAGAGCCGTCCTTCTTTTTAATGAAAAAAACAGGTGCTCCCCATGGTGACACACTCGGCCGAATGAAACCGAGTTTCAATAATTCCTGAATATGGGCCTTAAGCTCTTGCAATTCTTTCGGCGCCATTCGATAAGGTGCTTTGGAAACTGGGTCGGCTCCTGGAATAAGATCAATAGAGAACTCTACCTTCCGGTTAGGTGGTCCTCCTGGAAGTTGGTCCGGAAACACATCCACAAACTCACGAACAATAGGAACGTTGTGAGGTGTTCGTGCTTTCGGTTCATCGCTGACAAGACTCACAAGATAACCCTGACAATCGCCCCGACGTAACATCTGTTTGGCTTTCGCCATAGAAATAACATGGGGTAAGGAACGAGTCTTGGTGCCAAAGAAAGTAATATGATCATCTCCCGGAAGATAGAGAGTAATCTCCCGGTCATGGCATCGAATATCTGCATAAAAAATATGTTAGCCAATCCATGCCGAGAATGAGGTCAAAATCCCTCATCTCGAGAACATAAGCGTCGGTAGTCAATCTACAACCACCGATAAAAAGGCTGAGATCTGTAGCTTTAGCAGTAGTCACTATCTTTCGTCCCGAGGCTAAACTCACCTTGAGAGGATCGACAACGGTAATAGAATGTACTCCGATGGCATCAAGACATCGTTGTGATATAAAAGAGTGAGTTGCTCCAGTATCAAATAAGACAAAAACAGGAACATCGTTAAGCATAAGCATCCTAGACATGGTACCTGGGTGTTGTTCTACCTCGGCCTGATCAACCGCATAAACTCGATCCTGTTGTCTGCCTCTCTGCTGTTGCTGGGGTGGCCTCTGAACCTGTTGTCTGGGCTGCTGCTGCTGTGGCTGCTGGGGCTGCTGTGGTGGCTGCTGAGATTTTTTCGGACAACGGTTAGCAAAATGTCCGGGCTCATGACAATAATAGCAAATATCCTGGCCAACGTGACACTCTCCGCGATGGGGTCGTCCATAAGTGGGGCATGGTGGAACCTGCTGTGGCCTCGGACGGATCCTCCTATCGGTCTGGGCGCCTTTTCCTTTCCTCTTCTTGTCCTTCGGTGGTTGGGCAGCAGCTGGTGAAATAGATGGTACTGAGAATGATTGGGCAGGGGCAAATGGCTGCAGACGATCGTGGTTGGCCTCCCTCCGAATACTGGCGTCAACCTCCTGGGCTATAGAAACCGTACGAGCATAGGTCCGCATACCGTGACCCACAATGTTATGACGGACTGCTGGGTAAAGCCCGCCAGTGAAAAGTTGTGCCCTCTTTGCCTCTGTGCTCACCAGATCGGGAACAAAGGCTCCGAGTCGAGCGAATTCTCGCTCGTACTCGTCTACGGAACGAGTACCCTGTTTGAGCGCCAGGAATTGACGCTCCATCTCTGCTCGATAGTACGTGGGATAATATTTCTCACGAATCAACTCCTTGAACCTGTGCCATGTACAACCCTCCTTTTCGCCGGGACACATACCCCAGTAGGCGTTCTACCAGAGTCGTGCATCACCCGTCAATTGGATCTGTGCGCATAAAACATGATAGCGGTCTGGACAGTCCATGACCTCGAAAATCATTTCAAGGCCCTGGACCCATTCGTCCATGATTCGGGGGTCTCCTTGGCCGAAAAATTTCTCTGGGTGGTAGCCGCGGAACTGAGTGACTACAGTGGCCTGGGGAACCTCCGGATGATCTGGCTCTCTACGTGGCGGCATCTGAATATTGGAAATGTTTGACATGATTAAACGTAGGGATATATCATAACATGATACATTAACTGAGTGTTAAGACACACAAATTTCTTGACGAGTCGCTAACTTGACTTGGAAATACTGATACTGAATCACGGATACACTGAACTATAACTCCTGAACATAATTCGAGCATCCTAACTAAATCATAACTGTGAATTACTGAGCATAGACATAGTCATTTGTTTATAATTTAAAACATGAATCAACACTTACCTGTAGTCGGCGGGGCATGAGCGTGACGTGGTCGGGTTTTATAAAAACTTTCTGACTCGTAAAATATTCAGAGACGCAGAAACGTGCTCTAATACCAACTGTAACACCCCGCTATGTCATAAATATCAAAGTGAAATTTTTGCAAAAACGTTTTAATAAAAATTACTGATTAGTTTGCGAAATCATGTTTCAGAGTGCTACCATAATGATAACTTTACATGAAAAACCGTTATTTTAGTTTTTTAAGAAAAACAATTTATCATAATATAAACATCCGACTAGAAATCGGATCAAAAGGCTAAGTTTGACAAACAGTGAAATCAGCGGAAAGCGTAGCGTGGCAAAACATTTAAACTCCACTACGGGAGATAGTAACAGCACTGCTATGCCAAATTCAAACATGTAATCAAAATCCTGAACCGCCGCCAGCTCACACCTCTGGTCCGACTCCGTGACCTGAAAACATAGATAACATGGGGCGTGAGCACTAAAGTCCACTGTGCTCCGTAGGAACTCATACTAAAGTAAACAGTGAAAATAATTGCAATATCATGATCCTGGCATATACATAACCTGAACATGAAACCGATACCTCATAATCATAACATGATAATCATCACATGACCGTTACCTCATCTGCCAGTATAAAAATGCCGGACACCATGTGCACACTCTAGTGGGCAGATTAGGCCACTAGAACCCAGAATGGACCAGCGACCATTCCAAGCGGATACATGACATGATAATACATACCTCAAACATGGTAGAGTAATTATAATCAATGTAATACCCAGTCTGAGTCCCCACCTGAACCGTCGATATGAAACTGGAAGTGCTGATGATCGTGAACTGTTCAAACTGTAACATAATATAAACAAATACTAAGTACTATGCTCAGACTGATAAAAATAGATGTTTAATATGTTATGATGCTCGACTAGAACTTGACATGACATTTAAACTTAACCTGTATAACCGAAACCAGTTTAACATGGAACTGAATGGACATGAATTTACTGAACCTGACCGGACCTGGAATTTAACTGAAAATTTGACATAAACATGAATCGGGACATTGAACATTAATCCGAGAAGTCAGCCGGTCTAAACCGGCCGGTCTGGGGTCTGGCCGGACTTCCGGCCTGCTGTGGCTGGGCGGTCGGCCACTGGCTCGGCCAACCGGTCTGCTAAGGCCTCGGGCGTGGGCGCTGCATAGACTGGAAACGGACTGGCATTGCATTGGCGCGGCATCGCACGCTGGCGTACCACTGAGCACGATTGGGCATGGCATGACTCTCGCTGGGCACGACATGCGTTAGTCTGGGCCAGCTAGACGTGATTTGGGATTCTAGCGTGCGACTAGCGCATCGCGGACATAGCTAGGCACTGTGAGCGCTATTGGCGCTGGCACTTGCGCGACTGGGCATTGTCGGGCACTGCCGAGCACCGCAACAGGCAGCTGAGCATATGGACGTGCGCATTAGCGCTAGCTGGCGTAAATTGTTCCCCCGCGGGAGCTGTCGGGCGGCCCTGGCGGTACTGGACACTCGGGCGTGCTGTCTGCACGGCCCAAAGCGGACTGACATGTTGTAGGCGCGTTGGCATGCGTTGGAACCTGCGGGCGTGCACTAGGCACTGTCATCTAGTGGCTTACTGCGGGCAGAGCTATGCGCGACGCCCAACTGGGCATGCACGCACGTCACCTGCGTAACCGGCCTGACTGCCGGCATGCTGTGCCCGTTACGTGAGGGCATGGCAACCACGACCGATCCTTACCGGCCGTCCGACGACTTCCTCCGGCAACATCAATATAGATCAACATGACATGTCATAACATGATCAAATATGCTTAATTTGCTCGAGAATTATGAACTTGACC